AACGAACATTGCCTTCAACCAGATACTATATTGGTTTACAACCATTAAGTATTCACAACTTTAAATGTTGAAATAATTTATATCAGAAGCTGTACATGTTCCATTCTGAAATGGTGGGGTGGGCTCTGTAAATGTTCCATGCTGAATTGTTGGAGGTGCACTCTGTAAATGTTCCATTATGAAATGGTGGAGGTACACTCTGTAAATGTTTCATTATGAAATCGTGGAGGTGCACTCTGTAAATGTTCCATTATGAAATGGTGGAGGTACACTCTGTAAATGTTTCATTATGAAATGGTGGAGGTACACTCTGTAAATGTTTCATTATGAAATGGTGGAGGTGCACCCTGTAAATGTTCCATTATGAAATGGTGGAGGTACACTCTGTAAATGTTTCATTATGAAATCGTGGAGGTGCACTCTGTACATATTCCATTATGAAGTTGTGGATGTAAATGTTCCATTCTAAAATCATTCTGTAATTAATGACTCTGTCATTGTGCCATTCTAAAGTTTGAAGAGGACTTACTTCACAAATTAAAATAAGGTCTCTTTAAAAAGTTATATCACGAAAGTCAAGCTAATAAGCTTTCCTGTAAAGTAGACTATGGTCATACTTATTCTTCCGCTTATTTAAAAAATCTTTATGAAATGAAAATAAGCGGTATCGTATTTGCGATCATTTAATCTATTATTAGCCGATATTAAAAATATTATTAAAACGATTTCCGAATCAAATTGTATATTTTTCATAAGAATTTGGCGGAATCAAGTAGTATTAGACAGAACTATGTAGCGTTTAGTCTACAAATAGCTAGATCTATTATATTTTATCTAACAATATGATTATTTTATCATTATTATATTATTTTAAATGTCATTGTTGAGATCGATCTGGAATCTTCAACCTTAACAGTATGAATTGCTAACGAATATTTGTGGAATGCGAATCAAAATGTTTAATTTAAATAGGATCGTTTTATATACGTTTTTCTAAGAAAAGAAGTAATTCTTTGCAATTTTACTTGACCACTGAGGATAATTATGAAAATTTATTTTTAATCCAGTTTAGTGCTGTATACATGGAAGGCGTTACTAGTAACTCATCATAACCCTTACTGTTTCTGATTCACCCTCCTATCATTCTGCTACATAGCAGCACGGCCTGAATTTCCCATAATGTCTTCGCTCTTTTCTTCTCCCGACCTCACAATTTCATACCTCACCCCTGTCTCTCTTCTTCTCCTGCCTCAGCTTTTTCCTATTCTTGATAGAAACTTCTCTCATCTAATGCCAATTCCATTCTTTCTTCCTCACCCAGTTTCTTTACTCCAATACTTTCTTTCTCTGTCCCACCACCCTCCGTCTATCTTTCCCTCTGGCTAATGTTCTCCCACTCTACATTCCTCTTTCTTACCTTACACTTACCACTTCATTCCTCCTTGATCTTCTCTGTATACAGAAACCTAAATACAAATCTCGACCCAAAATAGGCAGGCGAAAAAAATGATTGAGTGATTCTAGGTTCTGAAAAAGTTAGATCAATCAGTAAAATTGTCGTGGATAAGAAGAGGGCAGATGGAGAAAACTATTACTCAGTTAAAAGCTTAAAAGCCATGTCCTTTCTAATCTTATCTCTAGATGTACGATTTATTGAATTTACATTTATCTAACCTTGTTATTATTAATTTCAATGCCCACAAGCGCACGCTCGTGATCAAAGTGATGAAAAAGTGCTGAAACCAAAATGTCGGACAGATCAGCAACAATGAACATATAAGTAAAAAGAAAGGTGTTCAGCTTATAATTTAATTATTTATTATTTGCTAATGGTTCATGACAATCCTCGAGGAATAAAATACCAGATTTTACTTTCATACATTTAAAAATATTCATATCATGATTTAAATTATAACTTTATGTATAAATAACTCTATTAGTTATTGAGACCATTTCCCAGTTGATATTGGTAATGAATAACGAGATTATTAAAAGTAGCTGACACTCTTGTGAAGATTTAATAAAGGAATGTAGAAATCGCCGACTTTTTTGTAACTCGTAGACAATGCTAATATAAAATAGCAGTAGCCCATCGTGTCCAACCCATGTCCAACAACCAGTGGCTCAACTAACATGGGGATAGATGGAGTGCCCACGGGCCTCTATCTTCACAAAAAAATACAAAAGTTCAAAAGTAAGTAAAACAGATTAACACACAAAATAAAATGGTTCACAATTACTTATGCTGGGTCTTATCTAAGGCGATATTATATACTAAAGACCGAAATCTTTAAATCTTACATTACATTAACATTGACTTACAGAGTTTTGGAAATATATATTATGTATTTTGTGTAATGTAAAACTACTTATATGCCGAAAGCCGAAAGGCGTATGGTTATAAACTATATATAACAATTTTCATTTAAGACTGCATCGGTTCACAAAGACGTCACAGATGTTCAGATTGTTACAATGGGCGTCCGAGGTTAGTTCAGTCTCATTACCAGTTTTGCAAAATAGCAGAAGACAGGTCGGGTAGTTTTAAGGGATCAAAGATATTTGTTACCAGTATTTAAAGTGTTATTTCCAATGATGCTTAAAACACTTCAATTCTCCCGTGAAACAAACCAATGTGTTAAGTTGATAAAATACAATAATAGCTGTAGTCTCCCAGGCCTCAGTTTTTAGACAAGTGATCATTGGGGACGTCATCTATCTTCCACATAGAATGTATGAGATTGACTTATTCTGACTTATTCAATACTTTCTAAATCGATCTATGTCTTTTTCAAAGATTTGTATGTGGCGACTCAGATATTGCCCCCAATATTATCCTTCTATATGTTGAAAGTGTATCAGGTTGTAGTTCTATAAATATTCCATTTTTAATTGAGATAAAACTCTGCTTGATCTATGGTAAATGTGTTCATAAAGTTGTCCATTGTTACCATTCATATACAGAAGAACCCATCCAAGATTTTACTGTGATATATATATGTATGTATATAAACATCAAATTTTTCAACAAAATCCTATTGATCAAGAGCAATAACTAAGTGACAGTTCATTAAAAAAAATTGTGAAAGTGGAACTTTCTATTCGCAAAAAAATATCAAAGATGGGTTTCTTTATCTTTTAGTGTTGAGCAAACCATTTGATTAATTGGTGTTTCTAATGAATTGTGAATCATACCAATAATTATGTTCTTATTGCATTAAGGGTTTTGACCATAATAAATGTCCATGTATGTACAGATAAACAAAAAAAGACTTTTCACTAATTGGAATTCTGCTGGTAATTCTCTTCTAATTTATCTAATTATGTATTAATTATGGTCATGAGAGACAAACTGTTTTTTTTTCTAAGTCATTAGAAAACCTCTACTTTCTATTCATGCAAGTAATAGCATTTCATTTCATAAATGAAAATAAAGGAACCCATCTGTTTATTTTAAGAAATTTCAAAAAATGATTTTATACCCCTAATTATTTGTCAGAAATTACCAGATCATCTCTATTTTTAAAAAACTTTCTGGGAGAAATGTCTTTCATTCCGTCTGTGCTTCCATAGTACATTGTACTCTGTGATATCTGACATCTGCAATTACATACTTGGAATCTCAAACCCTACACTTGTCACCCTTTTCAGTCAGTCTGTCCCCTATTTGAACCTCCAATTCCAAGAGGCTGTTACTACTACCAATAGTGGAGTTATAAAATAAGAGTCAAATAATTAAGCTCATACAAAATATTGTTTATGATCAAATTATAAGTACAACATAAAAAATATAATAAAATACTAAAACAATTCAATAGTATATAAAAACATGCATAACATCTGGAATACTAATAATCTTACAAATATAATAAAATACTGACTAAAACAATATTAGGAAAATAACCTTGACTAAAAATATTTGGAGAGTTTCAATCTATGAAAGCAGGATTATTATCATTTCATTAGATATTCTTCTGAGACAGTGACATTGGGACTGGACAATACATTCCTGTGTTTATTATCACACTGGCTTATTATACAAGAATTCTTACTGGCAAATCAATATTAAAGGTATACTACCTCATAGGATGACCTGAAATTGAAATTTTCAAACTTGGCCAAAATGAGTCTTTGTTCATCAGTGGATTTATCATAATTATATGACAGAAGAATTGGTCTATAATCCAATAAATCCATAAAACTAAGTAATAATTCATAACTTAATTTTGAAGTATACTTAGAAGCGTTTTTCAATAGTTACTTAGTTTAATAGATATATCATCTTAAATAGAGATTCTATTCTAAGTTTTATAACTCCGATTGTAAAATATTTCAATAAAATATGTTTAAACTAAACTATTCTTTAGTCATGACACCTGGTGAGTCCAACTGATACAGATATACACATGTTGATCAAGTTTGAGACTTTTATGTCCATTCTAAGAGGTAGTATTTCTTTAATAGTTAGTGCTAATAGTTTACTTTTTTTTACCATCCTGATAAGATACTATTTTGTGAATATCTGCTGAGCTGCTAATGGTAACATTACTTTTTTTTTTATCAGATTTGATAACATACATATAATGCATGGTACCAGTATAGATTAATTTTCATAATACTTGAAAAAATAACGGACATAAATCCATTTTAAATAGATACATAAATACAAGCATTTTTTAAAATCAAAGAAAACATGAATAACATTTACGATAAAATAAGCATTAATAACACATTTTTTTACCTATTCAGAAAATCTACTTTTAAATATTGCAGCCTTAAGCATGTATTTGGTTACAAGTTTGAACAGAACTTGTATTTCAGTTTCTTAGATAGGTTTTGTACAATACAACTAATAATCAAAAGATAGTTCCTAAAGGATTTCAGAAGGTTAAGAAATTGCTATAAGCTTATATTGAAAAAATAAGACAAGTTATATATAGATAAAAACAAAAATTATGTCATGTAGAATCATCATAATTAGTAAAAACTAAGTAACTGTTCAGATATTTACTTCTGTTGGTAAATTGTAGTTTTCTTATTATATCTATGAGGAATCAAATACAATATATTGGACTTGAATATTTAGCCTGTAAGCTTATGTCAATGCAAAGTTGACTGGTTTACCAACAAAAGCAAGAGAGCATTTCCTAAAATGATAATGGTTTATTCATTTTGTAGGCCTACATGAAATTTTTTTAACTTTAAAATCCATATGGTATCATTCATTGACATTAATCACAACCAAACACAACATATTATAATCAGTAACTTCGCTTTATATCAAGCATATCACAATATTTATTAAGGCATCTAGTGACAGTACTAAGCAACTATCAATCTTGGGACATGGGTTCATCTCCACCATCACCCTCTAACATAGACAACTTCTTCATCAAGGCATCTCCAAATGTTTGTCTATAATTGGGACTAACACTGTCAAGTAATGAATAGATTGTTTCAAAGTGTCTACAGTTTATGTTCTGATCAATTGTGTCATATTCTGAACCAACAATACGAAATCCTTGTAAGGAAAGTTCCACACAATATGTTTCTCCTTCTAAGGTACAGAGATTCAGAAAAACTTCATCTTCTTTTGGTGGAATTTTTGATGAAATTTCAACCGATTTCACAGCAAATGCCACTTCTTTGACAGCTTCATTCGCCTCGATTTTCAAAGGCTGACAGCTTTCTGTAGCATCTCTGCTGTCTTCGTCGATATTCATTATTTATTTTATCATCAAGAAAAATAGTAATTGCTAAGTAAAATATGGACAAAAGAAATCGTCAACGTTGTTGAACATTTCCAACCGGATGTTTTGATTGTAAAATAGGAGCAGATAATTCGCACTAGTGCCGCCTAAAATGTCGATATGGAATAAACATAGATTTATTTATTTAGTATGGAGAAAATTTTCACAAGCTATTTGCACGTGTAGTCGGTCTGTCTGAGAGCAGTAATATGTAGCCTATAATATAGTAATCAAAGTCTTGTACAGTTTTTTTTCTCAAACTCAAGTCTGTAGCGTGTAGGTTATGCTGGTTAAAATGCAGGCAACACAATAGGCCCCTATATGTAAAATATAAAATCGTTTCTATTGCGGCTATACCTTGAAAATGTCATCAAACTCAATACCAGCGACAAAGTCCATCAGTAGACACCAAGAGAAAACATTGTAATGCGATACACGATGCATGTGTCTATGTTGTTTTGTACATCGCAATATTGTGTATACTAATTACGTAGGCTACAACTTTAGGATAAGGTACATAAGTAAATACCTACTACATAGATAACTTTTGAGGATAAATTTATTTTAAAGATGGGTTTCTTTATTTTGATTTATTAAAATGAAAATGCTAAAACGTATATGAATAGAAAGTAGAATTGTTCTAATGACTTGCAAAAATCCCAGTTTGTCTCAAATGACCATTATTAATTCATAATTAAAAGAGAATTACAAGCCGAATTCCAATTAGTGACCGATCAAGAAAGGTCAAAAAGTCTTTTTTTCTGTTTATTTAGACTGTATATACATGGGCATGATTGGTTAAAACTCTCAATTATATGCAATAAGCAAAGTTTGATGTGATTATGAATACATGATAATTCATCAGAAACACCAATTAATCAAATAGTTCGCTTAATTTGACACTAAAAAAAAAAAAGGAAACACATCTATAAAATCTTTCTATAATGTCACGTCTGCTGCCAAGATCAGTTTGATGCTGATTAATCGCATAATTTAACGCTAGGTGCAGATGAGCGTTTGTTTCCACTCGATAACAATCGCCAGATTTTTAATACGGACGATTAAGAATTTGCACACGGAGCGAAAATTTGCCACCCGTAGAAATTTTTTGAGACATTATGTACATCACACGATATCAACATAAAAATAAAATACGCCGACGATCGAATTGAATCAACGGCCGAAAATATATTTTTTTTATGTCGGCAATTCAATCGGGCACGCGTGCGAATATTTTGAGCGATTTTGAAATTCGCCGCAATCGGCGAAAAAGTACGCTCGTGGGCCGCTACTTTATAAGTCTATTAGGGACTGATCTAATTATTTTTTAGCCAACAAATCAACACATGCTTTTATACATTTTTACATTTTTTTTGCAAATGAACACATATATAACAATTTTGTAAGTGATATCAATATAGCAATGTCTTTTAAGAAAAAGTTCTTTTTTTTTTTGGTCAAACATAGCTATTTAGAAACAGTGAACCCTGGATTAGGGGATACGGGATTTGATTTAATAGATGATGCTTTAGAGCAGGCCATACAAATATCTACCAAAAATTAATAATTATGCTACACTAACTATTTAAGTCACATTCACCAAACAAAGATCTTGAATGATTTATAACAGTCAATATTTTGTTTTACAATTGCATATAACAAAGTCTATAAAAATTATGTAGCAATCTGTATTTTGGTCATAACCCTCCAGAAAATAAGTTTTTTAAGAATGATGGTTTAGATTTGACTGACTTAGGGTTCACATATTTGTCATTTTTATAAGCTGTATGGATAGCTGAGGCACTAACACTATTTTTATCACTTTTCTCAGCCGTTTTTCTGGCTAAAATAACATCATCAGTTTCTTTAAGTTTATATGAGAACAATCTTTCAGGTTTGTTGTCTTCACTTTTCATTTCCTCTGGTTTTTCCTTTTTTCTTTTCTCCATTTTTCTCATTTTCTTACTCTTTCCAATATTTTGTGTATGAAAACTCGCTTCTTTTTTCGCTAGTGTCACTTCTTTTCTCATTTTCTGTTCACGTAAAGCGTGTTCATACTCAAGACGTTCATTCAAATGAAACCATTTAAATTTAGAGAGATATTTCATGTTCCACAGTTCATCATACCATTTACTACTCTTTTTATATCCTACTCTTTGACAGTTTAGGGATAAAGCAACTCTTTTAGCTAACTTCTTATCTGCATATTCAATCCATCCTTCAGAATATTTCCTGCCTTTCTTGGTCACAGTTTTTTCTGAAAAAAAAAAAAACAACAAGAAAATGATACTTCAATGGTGTAGCCTAATAATGTGGATATGATATATTATTTGATTCTTCAATATTTCATTGGAAATAAAAATATGGCTACTTTTATTGCAATAATATTGCTCACCATGTCACTATTCTTAATTACTGGTACGGTACAAAGAAATATGAGGTTCAGTGATTTGACATTTAAATAGACACATGTCTCAGAAAATTCAAGTGAAAATGACCTTTTTTAACTAAAAATTCCCCTCTGTAAAATCATGTTTACAAATAATATTTTTTCCAGTGGTTGACATTTTCATCAACCCAAAGACAATCAAAAACTCTCAGTAGTAGTTTATAATTGATATTTCAGTTCATATAAAAATGATTGCCAAAATTCAATTCAGAAAGCAGTGTAGTCAAAGAGTAAATCAGTGATAAATTTTGTTTACCATCTGGTTGTAAATAACAATGTGTTATTCTACCATATCTTCCCAATATTTCTTTAAAAGATCTAACAGTCATTCCAGTAGGTATTCTACTTAAATATATAACACCTGGTTCTTTTATTCTCTGCTTTGTGTCCCTAACATCATCCATTTCATTGCTTTCCATCTCAATGTTTTCTTCCTCGGAAGCCATGCTTGTTTTTCTATATGGAGTACTCTCCCCTTAATTCGCGTAAAATTTGTTCTCGGATTTTACAGTCGCTCTATTGCACGGTTTATGATATTATGTCTGTGGTCCATTGTTTTGAATTTTACCATAACTAGTGCCATGTGTTCGGAAGAGGTCTAAAACTGAGCTTAAAAATTTTAAAACTTGCAGCAATGCTTATGCCTGCATGCAAAGTTGAAGGCTACAAAAAAGCAGAATTTGCTAAAAGACAGAGGCCTATAGTTCTCCATATTTTGATTTATAGTTTTGGTTAATTTGAGCAACAAACTTTCCCCAACCTACTTAAAAAGCCAGACTGCTCCTCTTTAGAAACATATTACCCCCGCCTTGACTATGTGTTTGTGGATTTTTTTTAATCGACACTAAAGTTATTTTCATTTTAGCACCTTGAAAATAGAGCTGTTTACATGTGCTACCGCGGTGCCTATTTTTGATGGAAAGTAAGAATGGACTCCAATTGAAGATATCTATGGGTTTCACTGTATTAAAAACTCCCATGAGGAAACAGTTCTTTCTTTGATTACCGACTATCCAATCAATTTAAAAGATAAAAGAATATAGGCCCATATAGCCCTGCCTATATAACATCCCTGCTGACTATATACTAAAATAGTAACCCTGATAATTTGAACCATATTGTCGCTCATAGTAGTAAACAACAGCTTAAAAAGATCAGTCATCACTAAACCACTTGTAGACAATATACTTGAATGATCCCGACAACAGGATAACATGCAGGTGTTGAAAATTCCATTTTTAATTATGACTTAATAAAACAAATACATCTCAACAGGTGTCTCTAATCTATAGGAATGAGATGAAAGATCAGAAATTATTTCTATTAGTAAGGTATCTAATTTTTACGGCAGCTTTGTGAAATCGCATAGGCGTAGAGAGGGTCCTCCGCCAGCTTTTTTTAAAAATTTGGTATAAGGTTTTATAAGAGAAACTCTTTTAACGCATATTTTCGGGCGAAAAAGTTTAAACCATTTGTTAAGAATCGTTTTTCATGTGTACAAATGCACTCTCCCCACCCCACTTGCAGCTGTACATTAGTGGCGCAGCAACTGCATAACTCGATCTTGTACATTATCCTAATCAAAATCAACGTAGGTTTCATCCTCGCAAAGTATAATATTGGGTAATATACAGTATACAAGACATATTTCTCTAGAAGTAGGCCTATTGTTGTCTAAGTCACAAGTAATATGAGATGCCAAAAGAAAAAAAAAAACACACCAGCTGCAAATGATTACGGCTTTAATGACGTCGCGAATTGCGTAATAAGAATCAAAATTGCAAGATATTCTTTTGAACGTAAAATGATAAAAGTACTTAAGTAATGCTAATATTGAACGTTATTCTGGCTTGAAAATTAAAGATATAGTCCTATCATTTCCTTCAACCGAGATTTGGATTAATTCCTTTCTTTTAAAATTCTTTTTTTTAAATATATCTTCCTTTCCACAGAAATTGTTTTTGATTCAAATATTGATTACGTTGAAACATGATATAAATCAATGACGAAGTATATTGCTAAATAATAGATTAATCGTATCAAATATGACGATAAGACACCGTGCGCGTTAATCTGTTTGATGGATTAGGATTATCGGCGATAATTCGCCTATCAACATTATTATCTCGATATACATCGTATATTCTCTGATCTCGAGATATTGTTGTATATATGTAATATATAAACCACCACACAATAAGGTAATTAGTTAATAGATTAATTACTTAATTAAACAATTACATTAATTACAGAGTTTACAATTTTATCGGGGGTTATATTTCAATACCGTTATATTCGAGACTATGAGTAATGTCCACGAGTATTCCGTGATAATCGCGACTACCGAAGGGTGTTTTATATTGGGACAGCCAGTGACGGAACAGAGAAACACAGTTGAAATTAAAAGGGTCAACATCTAAAAGCTGAACTAATATTTACAAAGACTGTAACATTGGATATTTTCGTGATAGAATAAAAAAAAATGAACACGTTGTCTATTTTCGTAGTGTTTCTGCTTTCTTGTTGTGTCGATTTGGGTAAGTTAAGAAATACCTTATTTTAAATTATAAACGTAGCATAAATGTGTTAAATTTTCTTCGATTAAATTTAAGAATTAGATTTTAAGATGTAGAATTGGCGCTGAAGTTAAAAACTGTAGAATATGTTAAAACTAAATCGATAATTTGAAGCCGATGACAATAAAGAGTTGAAAGACCTTAACAAAGATAATTTCACAAATTATACGGTTTGGAATTATTAGACTGGACCATTCAACCGCCTGATATTCTATTTATAGTAACGCAAAGCATCAAGTGACAGATTCATTGTGAACAAGTGTTCTTTGTTAAAGTTGGAATGCCGCATGTAATAAATGTTCCTGTATTACCGCGGCAGTTAACATTATCAGACTTCTTATTTGGAAGATTGTATTGTTCATTATTATTTTGATTTTTACAAAAATTCGATTTTCATTTTAAGGAGATATTTTCAAATCTGGGTGATGACACATTTTAAAGTGAAATTAAAAGGAAATGGTTTTAAGAAATTCCAACTTTAAGTGAAATGTTCTCATGTCACGATGAATTGCCAGCGGAAGTTGAAGTTCCCCATAATATATTCATTTCCTCTATGTATTCAAGGGTACTCTAGTACACTATATGAATTGTCATTACTGGACTGTACTTTAGAGTTACCAAATTTAATGATAAATTTAACAGATAACCCAAATGTTTATATATATGTATATTAGGATGTAAGATGATAATGATGCCCAGATGATAGCAAGACCATTTGTTTCTCACAAATCCTAAATATACAGGCCTGACATTGCATGGTATAATAATCAGAAGTCTAATTTCATTCAATTCATGCTCCACAGTAGCCTAGATTATTGAAATTATACATTTACTACATAACAATACAAGACATTGACAAAGAGTATGGTGAAATATAAAATAGATTGAGACTCTCTACTGCAAACGATCTTTAGATCTTACTAGGAAATAACACACACAATAATATTAAATCACTACCTCGACTTAATAAATGAAATTTACACAAAAGGCTATAATATTTCTACAACGCCTCCAAATCATATTTCAAATTTAATAACCATACCTCTAATTGTGAATTGAAGGTTTAGTTGAAACTACGACTCATGGACTCAAGGAAGTGATTCAAAAGGGTTTAGAACTGCGTCCGAGTGTTATTTATCATACTGCAAGTCGATTACATGATTGTAATCCTTTAGTCATATACGTCATTGAGAAAATAATAAAGAAGATAATTTGTTTGGTTTTACCATGTTCGCGGTCAGAAAAAAGTCAATTTTCCTTTTGGTGAAAAACATTAAATATGACACAATTTCGCCTTAGAATCTCTTCAAAAATTTAATCTCTCCGATATTTAATAATTACACTTTTTGATTTCAATTGAATACAATTTATTCAAAAAACTTCATTATGTCGAAATTTCTTTATAAGGATATTCTTTATATGATGCAAATAAGTATGCGCATCAGATTGACTGACTTTGTGTCACACATAACGGACCACTCCCAATACAATATGGTTATTTTTCCTTATTGTAAATAAATCATATTATCTTCAACAATTTCGGGAAGGTTCATTCAAGCCACACAAGAATCTCGTTACAATGATAAGCATATTATGGTGATCACGATTTGACAGTTATATGATGTTCATATTGGGTCGTTACTGCCTCTTATATTGACCTCATTGAGTCGGTATACAAGTATATACCCCCATGTAGTAATCAAACGAAGTCAATAAATGACTTAACCTTCATCCTGTAGTCTAATTTTGACAAAATTTGGTCAATACTTTATCAATTTTTCAGAAAGACTTTCACCATATCTATATTTAAATTGTATTTCCTATTTCCGGCTAACCCAGTTGAATTCTTCGAAAATGGGAGGAGCTTTACTAATATGAAGGATTTATTGCCTTTATGTATTTTGTATTCTATTAGCATCATTCCCGGATTTTACGCCCAACATCTGTGGTAAATGCTTTTGCAGAGAACTTTCTGACATGATGACGTCATCTGCATCTATATAAGGAAATAAACGATCCTCCATACTTTGTTTAACTTTCTACATTTCAATATATTTCTTGAATCACTGATGATATTAAACCCCGGTTCCCAACCTGGGGTGTTTTCACTCCTTGGAGGTGTGGGACTAGGTTGTCAAGGGTTTGGTCAACTGGTTTAGCAGAAGAATTTATTTTGAATAAAGCGAGCACCTCACATCATCACATGCTGAAAGTGTGGTTGAAACAAATTTTTGGGAGTGTGAAAGGTCCAGGTGATTGCTCCAGGGGTGTGAAGGCTGAGAAAGGTTGGGAACCACTGATTTAGAAGAACATTTTCATGTTTACCATAAGAAAAGTACAATGAAAGTTTCGAAAGTTAAAATATATATACATGTACAGTGGCCCGACTAGATGAGTGAGGACTCGTGGACGTGGGCCCTTCCCCTGGGAACCGTTGTTTAAACATTATATGCCCTATTTGATTTGTTGGACTGTCGGCGTAGGCGGAGGTTGTCGAAGGATTTAACACACCAGTACTATTCTGTCCTCTAGGGTAAATGTTTTTGTATAAGGACCCCCATTGGCAGTCATAGATGGCATAGGGTCTCATTTGCTTCCTTGCCATAATATTACTCTTGGTAGGGTCCCAACATTAGTTGTGAACCAACTTGGTTCGATATTGCCTTATATTTTTTTTTTCAATTTTGTATTTTTTGTCTGGGCCTTGAACGTTATTGGTGGGGCCCGTGGACTTGGTTCGACCAGTCCTTATGGTAGTTTAGTCACTGTACATGTATAGTTATGTGGCAAATGTTAAGAAAAAAAAGAAAGAAAACTGCGTTACAATGAATTATTGTTTCTTAAGGGCGTGGATCATTCTTGAACTAAAATAGTTTTAAAGGTTTATTTGCATAGCGTTTTTGACATAAATTTAAGGATACTGTGGGCTATATATATATAGGACTGTCGTTCTAGTTGGCATTTAACTTCATCTAATTATCAGAGATACCCCGTGTATTTTATACTGTATCGATAATCAAGCAATGTATACCGCATCGGATACCGTACATCATCTATTCGCGGCTTTAACTATAAACAAAAATCGAAATAATTTGTGACCAGCCAAATATATAAAAGACTAAAAGAGGGGATAAGGACACAATACCACAACCCATATGAGAACCATCCTTCTGTACAACGGTGTCTCTCGTCTCGCTACCTTTTTTCAAAGAAAAATGGACTGAAATGAAGATAAAGATTGAAGACAAATGAATAAATTTGACACTTGAAATTTTTTTGGAAAACCTGAAATTATAAGTATATTAAAACCCCTGATAATGATAATTATAATGCACAATCTGATTTTTTTAAATTTTGTTTTGTGATAATGCTTTTAAAATGTGCAATCCTTTATTATTTCAGTTTACAGTGCAGCAGGTTGTGTATCCTGTCCTAAAGGTTCAAATCCTATAGACTGTGTAGATAAATATGAACCACCATTTATTTTGAATGAGAACGTATGTCAAAGCATTAGAAATCAACGAGGAGAAGGTAATCTAAGTTTGTATTTTTGTTTTTGGAAGTTTGGTTTATCGTTACGTTGGTGAATCAAGGGCAGACGGTTTTCCAAACTAATTAACTGTATGCAGAGGTAGTGAATACAATCAAAATAGTTTTGAATGAAGCTAATATCATGCTTTGTTCTGCTCAAGGTCTATCTACTTTGCAATCTTATTAGAATCAGATTCCATTTTCATTTCCTTAATTTTTTTCGGTTCCCGTTGTAATCTAAAAAATATAAACCAAGGTGGTGTATTGTTGATGTTCATTTCAACAAATCACAGTGCGTCATGCAGAATCCGTGTCAAAATATCGACGATGAATTGTGGGATATTCACAAAGGAGTTTTTTCGCTCGGGCGGGAAAACTTGGCCCCTTCTATCACCGAATGTGCACGCTCAATTGACAGTTAGAAACAGAGAACTGCGTAATTCCTGTTTTGTCGCAAATCCTCTAATTGTCCCAACTAAGCACAGAAAAGAAGGCACAAATCCTCATATCATTTCAGACACACGAACGTTTTTTCAAGTCAAGTAAAATAATTTTATGATGAGATTTTCTTGGGTTTAAGTGATTCAGAAAGAGTGTCTCCATATTGTACGCTTTATAGACATCTAGATTATCACCAAAGCTTCTATTATCAGTAAATAAATGAGGTTCGTGACTCCACAATAGCCAGTGGTCGAATGAGATATAAAGTCTGCAATTTGGTTCACAAGATAACGATACTCAGATCCTAATACGATATCATAACAACTTATTAAGTTATTAATTTCCTTAAATTGATCAGGGTTGATACTTTTTATAGTGAAATATTATACCTTCTATGAGGGGCTTGTTTTTAACTTGGTTATGAACATTTTGTACATGTACAAATTTGACCAAATACCTCCTATTCTTGTGCACACAGAAGAAAACTATGGTCAACGTTTAACTTGATACGGACTTGTCATAACTGATTTGATTGGATTGTACTCTAACAAATAAACAAAAAAGTCGAAGTCGATGATTGTCTAAATTCGCTAACGCACTATCCAATCAAATCACTTCATCGACAAACTTCTAAGGCACAAGAAAAGTGGCTATTGCAGTCATGGTATTAGACGTAGATCGTATTAGTGTGGCATTGTCAAGATAGATGACATATACCGTTTCAAGAAATCCAACATGGATGCTCGTTGCGACAAAGAATTGTGTTTGGGACAATGTCAGTTTTCTCCTTTGAGATTGACGTGTGATTACTGAACAGTTTATCATTTATAACAATCATAATTATTTTTCAGTATCAAGATTATGTAAAAAATATGGTGGAAATTATTTAGTGAAATGTGAATTAGAAGACTACTCTGAACGAGCTTGTGTTTCTACATGTTTACAAACCAGTCCAAGAAAAGGTGTGGTTGATTCAAGAAATAATGGACAAACCTTACAATCGCCAGCGATGACACTCTTTGCCTTAACAACGCTTTGCTTTTTCTTTCTTAAATTCTAAGGGACATGGACTATTTTAAGCGCATCATATCTTACATAAGTTGTCAAGGGTTAAATTATCGAAGATCCTTCCGGTCCCTTTAAATCCTCTGTTTGTGTTTTCGAAAGATTTTCGTAAGGGTCTAAATAAATTGGCGTCATAAACTTATTGTTTGTAAGAAGAGTTACTGTCCTTGCCTATGATGCTATCCGTTTAGTGCTTTTAGACATGTTATCCAAAGAACTTTAAATAGTTCAATAAATATTCAATAGTTCTCTTATTTGAAGAATATCAGGTATGTTAGGCTAGGAACTGTTCTCTGATAATTCAATAATGTATTTTCATGTAAATAACCAAATTGTAAAATCTGGCTGAACGTGTTCAAATACGAACCCCATGGTATTTGTAATAACCAGGAACTGTGATGGAATAATATGTTGTGTTCATTTATTATGTGCCTTTCCTTAACCAAATAACTTTTTATACTTTTAAAATTTGTTATAGTTATTTTTTGTTAAAATTTGAAATCCAATGAATTTGAATATTTCTATAGTGTTTGTTATTAAGTCCACGGATGGTAGATATTTGTTGAGTGAAGACAGGAATATAATTGTTCAATAAACATGGTTTGGAATATATTTCGACCAACCGAAATTAGAATTGAAATTTTTAAGTAGAAATTAACCAAACCTTCACCTTAAGGTGTATTGAGCACGAGTTAGTCATTATATTTATCCATGAGAGGAACTGAGTATGACACGAATGACGAAATTCCACTATATTGATACTAGATTTTTCACAATATTTTTTTTCTTACAATCACATTGTAAAACTCTCAATAGAAGTCAAGTCGAATTATTTTGTATATCAGTTTGCATTTCATCATTATATATAATATTTTGCATTTCATCATTGTATATCATTTTACATTTCATAAATTGTGTGCCAAAATATCATGTTCCCTTCATAGTTTTTGTATAGTCAAGAAAATATATTATACATACATTTATATTCATTTATACGAGTATTCATTTTGACGAGGAATAATATATTAAATGTAATGTTTTCTACTTAAGTATTTCAAATTATATTTACTGGTTTTCTCTTTCATGTATATTATTCTCTCTATTTGAATAGATTTAAACTTTAATACGATTTAATGTAATTACATAAATTCAAACTTTAATACGATATCATGCATTTATAGGAATACATTTACAGAAATATAATGTATTTACAGAAACAATTAACAATTTAAGGCATTTACAAATATGTAATACATTTACAAACATGTAATGCATTTACAAATATTAAATACATTTACTAGTATTTAAGGCAATTACAATAATGTATTTACAAATATTTAGTGCATTTTAGAAATTTTTCTTAATTTAACACAGAAATTTCATTTTAGATTTATTTAGAATATTAAATTTTCTATTATTCTATTTTCTTCGAAATTATACTCATTTTTATTTTACCTAATTTCCTTCAAAAGTATCTTGAACGCCATCAAAAATCTTTTCGTTGAAAATAGAATCAAAGAATTATAAGTAAGATGTGTTTTCCACTTTGTCCCATAATAACTTCATATAAGAATATTAGATTTATAGATTGAAAATAAATTTATTTTTTTACACTATTTTATTTGTAATTAATTTTAACAAATGAGAAGATTGGAATTGGTATAGAAGTATACGTTCACATGTTATTTTGCATTTGTTCATACGACACTATCATAATCTCAAGAATAAACCCATGACAGAACTTCTTGCTTATTGAATAGAAATCTACTACAAAACATATTTGGCCAAAAGTAGGAAAATCCAGAAGGGAATATCCAAGGATGTGATTAAACATAATATGAGGGTCTGCTGAAAAGTTCTACATCTCAATCGCAATGACACCTACTTTTATTACCAGTACATTCAGTTATGAATATCAAACATAGGAATAGTAAATGTGGTGTTATTATTGTCTTTGTACCAGACCACCTAGTCGACATGCAAGATGGGTGTCAAAGCTCTTGACAGCAGATAAGATACGATAGTTTCCAAATGAATTTGGGTTGTCGTCTGCTTAGGCAATAAATTTCAATAAAGTTCTTATGATTTGTTTCAATTAAATCGTGTTACTTCCCTTTATTCAACAGTAATATGAGCAAACTGTTGAGACTGGCCTCTCTGTGACTCACGATTAGTTATACCAAAACCTCTTGTCTATGGGCTTCCACAGAATCTAATCCTAATCCTAATTCTAATCCTAAACAGTTGTGCCCCCATTAAGTCAGTCTGTCCGATTTATACCCGCAGTCAGGCTCCGCCACTGTAAAACTATCTTTTTAACAATGAGAGCAAGATATTTTGTGAAGATGTGTTTCCGCCTCATACGGAGCACGCTGTTTAGAAGAAGGAGTATGTTGAAAACAAATTTAATGTGACTCGAATTATTTAGGGGTTACGTGTTTGGTTTCACGCATTTAAACCCGCTCTCATTTCGCATAATGTTACGTTTTTTTGCGAGTTATGGTGGTGTGGTATTACACGTTGGTCGCTGTGGAAATTCATCTGCCTCAAGTGCGTTTTGAACCTTAAAAGTGATGTGTAATAGAATTACCCTGGGAACTTTCAAGAACACCAGCAGAATCATTTCCTTATGTCCGAGTAATAAACAAATAAACAATAATAGTTATTTTAACAGTAACTCTAAAATAAACGCACACACTATAAGCCTTTCTTCAACATATTATATTCTATATCAGTCATAGATACAATGAAAACAGACAACCACAGTAAAAAGTAAATACTGGAAAACATCGTTTTTGACATCTTGTTCCTTTTCAGATAGTCAGCTTAAAGAGGCAATGAATGTAATAAATTTTACTTAAAAATATTCTAAGATATGCTATTTGAATCTATGACTATAGTTGATCACACTGAATTTGGTTTAAAAGAGCACTAATTGCAGTTTGACCTAGTTTTGGTGTTTGGCTTTATAATGGTTCGATGTTATCAGTTGAAACCTTTAGAATAAGTTTGAGACATATTTCTCTAAAAATGTGTGACAGAATACCGTTCGAAGACCATCTGAAGTGGTTATGTTCCAAATTTCAAGGACTTACCATGCAAACTCTGCCTGTTACAGCATTTTTAGTTTCAGACTTTTCCCAAAACTAAAATATAAGTCATTTTCCTCTTCAAAATAAGGATGGAAGTTAAAAGTCGATTTTCTCAAAAGTTTTCAAAAAATACGAATTTCTGTTTTGGAATGAAATAGTTAGGGGACATGTTAAACTTCCGTTTGCAAGAAACATTATACCTCTGGCGTCAAAATTGGTGAAGTTATGGCCATTATAGTGAGGGGGTGGGGGTCGGCAGTCCGCCTATAGACTATCAGAGATGAAAAGTTGCAATTTTGACTGAAGGTACACACACATTTAAAGTGGTTATGTTCCAAATTTCAGGGTCTTACCATGCAAACTCTGCCTGTTACAGCATTTTTATTTTCAAACTTTTCCCAAAACCAAAATATAAGTCATTTTCCTCTTCAAAATAAGGGTGGAAGTTATGGTCATTTTAGTGACGGGGTGGGGGTCGGCAGTCGCCCTATAGAGTCTCGTTGCACTGGTTGGGGTTAAATAGTTTTGGGTTTAATAAATTAACGGCTGATTATTTTAAGTTAATACTTTCAGATACGTTCAGTGACACAATTCTCTAGATTTTGGTGAATATGTTTCATAAATTTGAGCAAAAATATTTTTCGATCTATAAAGAAAAACATAACGCCCCTTTAAGTGAAAATAATGCAAAGTCAGCCCCCATTTTTTTACTGGCTGCGTCTTCATGAATTTTTTTTATGGACAATGGACAATATCATATATTTTTTCCTGTGTCAGAATGAATAACAACATATTGATGTGCACTTTTCTTTTTATTCTCACACAATTTTTTCTGGGGCGACTTGGGTTTATGAAGGGATCAATGTTGTTATTTCTGCAGCTAATATGTTGTGAACCTAAGAGTTTCAAAACTGTTTCAGTTATTACTATCCATGAAGGGCTAAACTGCGTCTTACCTTTTAAGGAAGTTGGTTATTCAACTAGAAATATGACGAGAGGACTAGAAGATTGATCTAGGGTGAAGTTTAATCTAGAAGGGACCGGAAAGGCCCCCTTTGACGAATACAGAATCAGATAACGATCTAATTTTACTTCAATTGTTACTATAATTACATTATCCAGATTAATAGTCGCTAGATTATAAGGTGATAAGAATGCTGTTTTTAACTGCTGAAGTGATTAGATATCCAATAAGAAAACAATGGTTTCTTGTCAACCGATTATCATATTCTATAAAAGAGATTTGGGGTCAGACCCTTGTATATTCGATTTAGAACTTTCTCGGAGAGAGTATCTCGGAATATTTTTGAGCATAGTATTGTATAACGAAGGATACACTATGAGTTATAATATATGGGATTTTATTGTCAATAATATTCTATCGGGTATAGTTATTATTATTCTACTGATTCTGATTGCAATTTTCTGGTGAGTTAAAAAACTTTCATTGTAAAATCATATTTAACAGTTTTAATTGTCTTCCTACTCGAATCTATATATGATATTTTTTTTATGAGAATAGAAATATACCAGACTTAAATGGATATCAACATGAACAATGTCACTTGCTTTACGATTACAATTTCCAGATAATATTTTCAGTCAAAATTTGGGATATATTTGGCTGAAATTTCACAGAGGGAAGAAAGTTTGTTTTAGATGTAAATTATTATTTTTTATATAAGCAAAGTCAAACTTAGAACATTACTAATTTAAAGCTGATTTTTGAATTAACTTTAAAAACATGTTCGAACATAGCAAATGTAAAGACTCGAGTCCCTACTGAGGTATGTGCTTTGTGTCGTGACGTACTGAAAGATGAAAACATTGCCTTACGATTTTGTGGGTAGTTTTGATATATTGTGTTAAATATGTAAATTACTATCCTTATCTTTAATGTAAAATTCCTTTCTCTAGGCATTTATATCAACATTTCAACCAGTTCAAAAAATTAGGAATACGAGGTCCAAGACCATCATTGGTTTATGGTAACTTAAAAGAAATATTAGAAAAAGGCCAACATCAAGCGATTCAAGATTGGACCCAGAAATACGGAAGAATATTTGGGTAGGAAATTAGAAATTATATGGATGTCTTATAACTAAATAGCGAGAAAAAAATGATGAATATTCTATTGCTTATTATGGTGCAGGCAGTACGTCCAACATTTCTATGTGTATGAGTTCAATCCGCATTTCTCTGCCTTAAAGATACTTAAAGTAGACAAAAATGCTGTTTTTTTTCTCTTTTGTAACGATAACTCGGATATATTTTCAGATATTTTGAAGGTTACACACCAGTTATAACAGTAGGTGAACCCGACTTATTGAAGGAAATCCTCGTCAAAGACTATCCAAATTTCAAAAGACGAAAATCGTTTCCATTAGCACCAAAGAAAAGTCTCGGTCTGTTTTTGGAGGAAGGTGATCAATGGAAAAAGAGTCGCTCTATGCTAACGCCTGCCTTTAGTTCAGGGAAGATGAAAAAGATGTTCTCAATTATGAATGATTGTACGGATCTTTTCGTCGAGAATTTGGATGGAAAAGCAGATGACGGCAAATCGTTTGATATATACAGCATGTTTCAATGTTTAACTGTCGATGTTATTGGAAGATGTGCTTTTGGTTTACAAACAGATGCTCAGAAAGACTCTACTGATCCATTTTTGACCCAAATCAGAACCCTGTTCAATGGTTTAACAAAATCTATCATTTTACCTTTAGTTAGTAAGTATGATTAATCTCACCCAAATTCGTCTATTTAAGTATTGTACGTCTTGTACGCCATTTTATGTGCTAATGCAAATCGTTCATTCAAAATCTTATTTGTTTTGAGTATAGTGCTTGTACGATTTATAATATAACTAATCCAACATGATGATCTGAACGTCTTTAACTGCATACTATACGTTCAACGGTTCGTTCGATAACAATAACACTACAGGACTGTTTATTGGTAGGGCTAAGGGGAGGGTTAATATTTAAGGATTTTAAATTCATTTCGTGATGATTCGAGAATTGTAAAACTTAACGTGGTATGCATGGGTTTAAATCATCATGTATGCATACATATATTATGTAGTTCTATGCTAAATTCGCCCTTGTGTTACCGTCAACAAAAATGGTTTGTTTTTTTTCTAAATTGCAAATCATTGCGTGTCTTCTGGGAAATTGTCTTTGCAGTGGTGTGATCATGCTTTTATCAAATGTTTCATTTTAGTGTTTATGCCGTTTTTACGGTACTTTATCTTTGCTGTTAAAAATATTGTGGTTATATTTGGAATGAATCCTGTAGTTTGGTTAAGAGAACAACTAACAGAAGTTATATCTATAAGAAGAGATATGGGACCACGATCAACAATTGTCGACCTAGTGCAACTCATGATATACCCAGAAATCAAGAATCAACATAAGAATATAGATTCAATTCTCAAGCGACCAATGTCTGATAGAGAAGTTGTCGCTCAAAGTCTGACGTTTCTCTTAGCTGGATATGAAACCACTAGTACCGGTTTGGCGTTTATGAGTCATGTTCTTGCCATGAATCCAAGCATTCAACTCAGGCTTCAGGAAGAAATTGATGAAAAAATAGGAGAGGTGAGATTTTTTTCGGTTCTTAGTAAACTAAAATTAACTAAAACTTTGACTAAAGACAGCAAAATGAAATGAAAAAGAATATCAATTCTGTGACAACGACATGCATTGCACAATGAGACCGTACTTTTTTGTTTTAAACTGTGAGGGATCAAGAAGCTTGATCTGTTACACTGTTCGACTTGATGCCATTTCGTATCACATTCTTTATAAATCTTGACAAGGTTGCTCAAAAGGTGATCAAGATCTACCATAAATGCTTAGCAATATCGATAACACTGCCACTAGGGAGCTTGCCCATATCTATGTTTCAAGTGAAACGGATTCAAATCACAAAAATTTTGAGATTAACTTTTTCGATTAACCACAATTGAAACGTATTAACACGAACTGAAAATACGTATTTCTTGTAAATGATACAAATATCTGCCAAGTCAAGAAATTACGATTTCAGCTGAAGTTCAATTTATATGATTAAACATAATTATAATGTAAAATTTTTATATCCAGCTATTCAAAGTTTGAAATCAAGTATAAAACTAAGCAATATTTTATATTTTCAGAATGAAATTGACTACGATTCAATCCAGAAATTAACATTTTTTGATCAAGTTTTTGACGAAGTGTGTCGAATGTATCCTACAGCGTCATTAATTGTTACACGACGGGCATCTGAGACAAAGATATATAATGGTATTACGATTCCAGAAGGCATTAATATACAGGCTAATATCTGGGCCTTACACAGAGATTCGTCTTATTGGCAACAACCTTCAACGTTCGATCCTGATAGGTAAGCCTTTATGAATATATTTACTGTCTTGGACGTATACCTTCCATTTGGGCAAAACACAAAAAGTTGGTTAACCGTATTTTACCGACTATTTGTTTGAATAAGAATATTAGTACCTTGGAATAGTACTGATTGTCTAAGAATGACCATGTGGTTATAACAAAAATATAACATACTATCATTTGTACTGATGAAGGTATCTGAAGATGGAAACGAATGGCAAAACAAGGTGTCCATGTTTTCTTCACTGCCAAGAAAGTATTCCGAGGTAAGAGTGGTATAGGCTTGTCAATAGGTTATGTTTATTGAATGTTAACAATATCATGTACTGTTTTTGAGGCAAATCCTTATATTGAAGATAAAATTGAAGTCACTAGTCATTCTTACTTGATGACTTGTATATTTCAGATTTTCTCAAAGGAGACGCAGTGAAATACAGGGATACACATATCTTCCTTTTGGTGCCGGTCCTAGAGCTTGTATTGGAATGAGATTTGCTATATTAGAAACTAAAATAACTATAGTAAAAGTGCTCAGAAAATTTCAAATAATAAAAGGTGACAATATGAAAGCAGACTTAGATGTGGAATCACGTGGTGCCATTGTTCCTAAAGATCCAGTCAACGTGAAAGTCATTAGACGCGAAACCAATATAAATGCAGGAATCAAAGATTCTTGAAACCAGGAATCAATGTAACGGTTAATCCTTTCTCTTTTAACCTTTCAATACCGGTCTTAGCAAGATGATACCACCTCAAGTGATGCGTTACATTGACTAAATTTAATGGATACGTTCTACCCGGTGCACTGTCATCATCAGATAGATTCCGAAACCTGGGCCTTCCACAAAACAATCGATCAATTTTGTCCTAAGTATGGTATTTCTCAACGTTCCTCTACACTTACCACAAATTCGTATCGCGAGATCACACATAAGTCAAAGTGGTTTCAACATGAAAGTGTCCATTTTAACGCCAATATATCACCTTCTATTGTTGAAATGTTATAGAATTTTCAGTGTAATACTAATTGTTAATAAATCATGTGGAATATTATTATTTTTGGTCGAGCTACAGTATATTGTAAGTTAATCAGTCATACGAAAAGACAACTTGCCATCTGGATCTTTGTAGTAGCATGTTGAAATGCATCTAGGCACTATTTTATTATCCCAGTCACAAAAAGGCCGAGGCAATTGTCGTATAGTCGCAACGAAAATCAAATTTGTCAAAATTATTACAGTAAATCAAATTTATCTTTCTTTAACGAATATTTAGTGTCTCTTGAGTGTTTCGGTTTTGCTTTTTGAGGATATGAATATTAACGGTTTTAAACTTTTCATCGAATATGAACTTTTCCCTGGTAAATTGTACGGTGGATGGTTCCGTAAAATGCGTCTTAATAACTGCGTAATAATGCTGTCACTGGTTGTAAAAAAAAACCACAATCTCCGCTTCTAGAAGTCTTTCTCTTCGTCATATCGTCCACTAGACAAACAGATCCTCAGTTATACAACCAACCTTCTATCTATTGACATAAACTTCAATACTCGCGTTACGTACACGTGGATTCTAATGTAACTCAAAACATTAGAGAATTATGAAACAGTAGGTAAATAATCAAACCCTGGTGTTTTTTTCGGTCATTGAAACGTATAAGAAATATGGTTTATACCGCTTATTACACCCCCTTTTCATTTCTGCCAAACTTTAAAATACTTTTATTCCTATATAAAAAATGTGCCAGATTGCACCAACTTTTCATTTTTCAAAAATTTTCCTTGGGAGAAACACTCTCAGACGCTTCATGAGAGGCTTGTACCCCCAGACTCCAGAAGGTGGTACCACCACGGGATCCCGAACACCCCATTTTTATTGATATCAATATACAATGTAAATATGGATATCAGCGTTCGATAACCGTTGGTCAGCGTTAGAAATAATGAATACTTTTTTTTTGTTTCTGACTGTATTAATCTGTCAAATTGTTACCAATTAGTGCCCTATTTCAAATGAAATGTAGCAGTTTTTCATGATGTGTATATTGATTTTGTACATCTAAAATCTCTGTTTAACCGAAACTACAATAGTAAACATAACAACGACCTTATTAAGATAAGATATTTCATCAAACAAAGTTAGCCGTAACGTGTCTGAAAACGTGAATTGCAAATTTATCTTACATATTTGGACAAACCCATTTCTTAACTAGGGGTTTATAGATTAGGAAATTGTATTTATTTCATTCAAAATGGACTATAAATAAACAGATACTATTTGTGTTCATATTATCTTTTGAGAATGTAATATATTACATTATATTGTCCTAGCAAGTCATTTAGTACTGTTCCTGAAAACTATCAGATTGAACCAACTTACTGCTACTAATAAATGAACTTGACCAAACGAAATGTACGATTTATGTAATAATGTTATATAAAGATTAAGATGGCCTATAAATACCATAAAAAATCAAATTTTGTTATTAGTGATAAAGCGACTGGATAACGACACTTTTTACAGTTAAGAAATCGCTTTGTTCACATACTAAGAAGATGATGCTAAAGGTTATATCATTGATTTTGGCATTACAGCTATTGAATACTTATTGTGCAGCCTATTCCTTAGATGCTTATGGAAAACCATCGTTTTGCAAGCAACATGACTGTCCATCTTTCACGGTAAGATTATTTTGATTTTGATGTAGCTGATAAGAACTTGACGAACCCCGAAAATTTAACTTCCATAATATACAGTGCATTATAGTCATGGGCGCATAACCAAGCAAATCAAGACTAGAAATAATCTTCTCAGCAGCGTCAGAACCACACCAAGCAAAAAATGATCGAGGCGAACAAACGATCCAGTTCTATTGTATTATATCGTTTACAACCAAAACTTTATCTTCTGTTTTAACCAGCCATGCGGCCTTTGTCTTAAAAAATAGCAGAAAACTGAACAAATAATTATGCGGTGACTAACCGTGTGTGCTGACAAAGGTTAATAACACTAACTGAGGGGATGCGATATGATCTCTGACCAAAACATAGACATTATTGATTTCAAATTATCATTGTATCGAATCAATGCCCGAAAATATAATATTCAATTAGACGTTTCCTGTGAATACTGAGAATAACTGTTTATTTATTCTTCTTGTCAGCGTTTATTTGAAGTTAGGCAGTACGAAGCATCAAATTGGGTAGAAACAGAAGAAATCAACATGCCTTACGAGACAGCCAAACGAGTTATGTTTTGGAAACTTTTTGGATACATCAGTGGAAACAATGCGGATGGTATGTCTTTATGCTTTTATTATTATTAGATTTAGGTTTAAGGTATATAAATAATATAATGATATAGCATGGCTATTTATTTTTGTGCAATATTTTGTCGATTTTATATCATGAATAAAAAATGCCATCTTAAAACCTGATTATGACAATACAAATTTTGCTATGCTGTAAAGCATATAAATACATAACATTGTAAAATCTATTTAGTGTCGACAAATCATCTTATTTGGACCGGGCTTTAACAAGCTGGACATGAAATGCTCTGATTACGGATTCATTTTTGTTATGTGGTCGATAGTTCATATTAAATAGTAATCAGATCTTTCCATTCTATGGAAGAAAGAATCCCGAAACACTTTTTTCGAATCTTTTATGGGGTTAAACATGATATATGAATCCCAGAGCACGGCTTCAACATGTTTCATGTGTTTTAAATATTTGTCATTGTTCCAAAGACGAGAAAGCCAACTAAGAGTTCAACTTTTATTCTAGTAGGCCCAGGTCTGTCGGGATGCAATATTATGACACATGTTTTCAGTTACCAACTGTTATAATTATATTACTAATTATCAAAACTTTTATCAAATTGTAAGGCTTAATAATAGGAAAAACTTCACTGCATTTATTTTAGGCCAAAAGATAAATATGACTGCTCCAGTTTTAAGCAAACACAATAAGAACACCAATAGTTACACAATGATGTTTTACTTACCTAATTCTATTTCTAATCCACCTCAACCTATTGACCCATCAGTTAAACTTAGCTCATTTCCAGCCTCTCTTGCATACGTCAGGTGAGTAACGTCTTCAACATTTTGGCTTTAAGTTGTAATATAAATATTGTGCCTTGTGTTTCTAGTGAATTATGAGGGGTATGTTCATGTCACTCTGCGACTTGGTTTGTCAACCTCTGATCATTAAGTCCACATAGCAAATATTGTTTATTTTGTATAATTGTTTGGCACAGTAAAAGCGCAATAAACCGACTAAGGCTTTGAGTATAGCAGGATATGCATGTTCCTAACATTTTTCCCTCGCTGTACACCGTATGGCGTTGTTGGTTTTTAACTGGCAAAAGTAAGACCTCAAATTTCATTGATTTGATTTGTTTGAAGTTGGATTTCAATATCTGACAGAACCACTTAAATTCATATTTTTACAACTATTATTTGACATTAAAGTTAGTCATTCTTCTTGTCTGTTACTTGTGTTGCCTCTCAAAGCAACTACTTAATCTTCGGATGCACTTGCTTGACCCCGTCGCAACCACCTCCCGTTAAGATAGATTTCTTATCATTGCAGATAGCTCCAATTCTATATTTCAGATCATTTTCTGGCTATGCAAGGTCGAAGGACGATTGGGTGGCACAAGAAACTATATTGGCACAAGCTCTCCTTTCAAACGGTGTTGCCTACGATAAATCTTCATTCTACACAGCTGGTTATGACGGTCCTGGTGTACAAGATAGACATAATGAAGTTTGGTTATTACCACCACCCTATTATATGAATGGTTTGCCTGATGCATTGAATGTATGAATTGTAGTGCAAGATGCATTTAATGTATGAATTGTAGTGCAATGTAGTGCAAGATACATTGAATGTGTTAATAGTAGTGCAAGGTACATTGATTGTGTTAATTGTAGTGCAAGATACATTGAATGTGTTTATTGTAGTGAAAGATACATTGAATGTGTCAATTGTATGACATCAAATACGCATATTTGTATTGTTCACAGTTGATGTCATATTACTTTTGTATTTTTAATCTGTTTTGTAACCAATGACATAAAAATAACTCTGAAATTTGTTTGTTATGCTCCACTAAATGATGCATTGCTTCTGAGCCCCTTAGAAAAGATAGTGTTCGACTTCACAATTTTTTCCAAAGTCAGTTAAGGTTATCTCAGGTGAGGTATCTAGCAGGTCCAAAGTTTTTGCACAAGTATGTAGGCGTAGCCTCTAGTGATAGAGCAATGTTTGTGAAGTTTGAATATTAATGTAGAATATTTGAAATGCAAATCCATAAGCTATGTGCATCCTGTTCCTTTTTTGGATAAAATACATTAGTATACCTAAAATGATAAAAAAGATAATCTTCGATTCCACAAAAAAAGGAATTTGTCAAAAAGCTTTAACTGGGATTCGAACCCAAGGTCAAGTGCTAAAACCACCAGGGACCGACGATTGGAACTTGGGGTGAACTTCTTATTCTAAGAAAAAAAATTAATTAGGGTTAGCTCAGGAGAGGGTTCTAGCATGTCCAAAGATATAGTTTTCGCATATGAAAGGAAAAGTACTTAATTGCGCATTTACTCAACTTAAATTGATGAAAAAAACAAATTAAATTTCATGCAGACTGCGCGTTAAAAATGTATTAACAATTGGTCATGGAAAAAGAAAAGGTTAATGAGTCTGTCCGGCCAAGATTTCTAACAGTGTTTGCTGTAAGACCATTGTCTTCTTCAAGCCGAAGGAGGGGAATGGTAGGACACAATACTTCATTTCAGTCTATTCCATTTCTTATACATTTCCATAGTGTAGCATTGTTTTTGGGGCATTTAATGGAAACTGAACTGAAATGACTAATTTATAGCACCCTATAAATATGTATTAATATTTATGTACCAGTAAGATAAGGGATTCAACGGGGGTTATCCTTGAAACCCAATGTAACATAATCAAAATACGAAGCTGTCTGGGTGGGTTCCAAACTTGGGTTCAATTGAC